TCTCACACCTTGCCACTGGAAACCATACAGGATTCTTACTCAAAAATAATTATTATTAAATAAGTAGCAAATAATTCTTACAAACAAATAACTATCAGACAGCTTTAGTGCAGAGTAATTGGTGTATTGGATGCAGTAAGTGAAAGAGAAGGTAGAGACCACTGATTACAGTAAAGTGGAATGAAAACCTCTGGCTGCATCAGTTTTAAAAGTGCAGCGGTGCCTCTGTTACAGGAGTCTCCCTCTGAAAGACTGTTGTACTGTAGAAGAGAATAAAAGCAAGAAAAAAACTCCAGGCAAAAGGACTTTTACCCTCTGGCTTAAGCTATATAAAGCAAAGAGAGACAGAGTTGCATGCTCTGAAAACTAACCGAGGTGAGAAGATAATTCTAAATTTGGGGTTTCTGAGCTATTCCACTTCTTGACAAATAGAATATCAACTACCTTCACAATTCCCAAGGCTAATTCCATGATATTCACTCCAATGCATAGTCCATTTTACGGTTTGTTTTTCCAGCCTTCCTCTCAGGGATGAAGAGTGTCTACAGGAGGACAGGCAGCAGGGAATCATTAGAGATCTGCAGATGGCAGCAATGTTTTATGTTCTTCTCTGAACATCCAGGAGGTCTACAGGGAGGACCTGAACCTGGGAGAAGGGTGTGCAACACAACAGTCTGGCCAGTGTCTTGGTACTGCAATTGGAGCGATTCCCATCAAAAGCCTGTTTGAGAGTGGACAGCAGTCCAAGGAGGGGAACAGCAGGACTTCGTGTGGGAGTGGTGTTTGCACACCCTTGTGCCTCCGTGCACAAAGTCCCAAAGGGAAGAATGAAAAATACATCAGGCAACTCAGATGCTTTGTGTATCTATAGGAACAGATTTGAACAGTTAAATTTTCTCCCAAATTAATAAAAGGGCTAACAGCCAGCTATTTCAGGATCACCTTCAGGCTGGGGGAGGTCAGAGCACCTTACACAAGTGAGAGCCCCTTGACCTTCCTGGCACTATGACTCGCATTTCACAAATAAGCAAGCTGAGAAGGTAAAGGGACCTGCCCAGGATGCGCAGGAACACTCTGATATATAACTTGCTTCCCAAGCATCTCTTAACCTGTCAAACCCTGCCTCCTGCTGCAGTGCTGATACAGCACGGGACGTGCTGCAGCAGTGCAGACGTTTTTTGGTTGTGTCTGGAATACTTAGCAGCTGATGGCTTAAAATAATATCTCTGACTGCAGAAGTTGGGAACCATTCCCACTTACCAGCTCCACATGTGTCAGCTGCTGAGCCAGAGTGTAAGGGTCACTGCAGACGCTCAGGATTTCTCTCTGAATTGATGGAGGTTTGCTTTTAAAGGCAACCAGCTTATCGGAGACAGCAGCACTGATCTTGACAATCCCTTCTTGCCCATGGCTGAGGGTTGCAAGCTTCTGATTCAGGGTTTGCAAAAGTTGATTCATCTTTTTCCAATAGGCCTGGAGAGACAGGGAGAGAAAGAAACATAAACCACCCACAGAACCTGACAAAGGAGTGGTTTTCTGCTGAATTTCCCCTTCTGCAAAATACTAAGCCAACAACAGGTTACCATTTTATTTTGAACAAGCCTATTTCAGAATAACCAGTTGGCTTAATTACAGTTCTGTGCTCCGGACCACAGAAACAGACTGCAGTCAAGAGAAGAGGCCGGCAGGACTGGTGGGTTGGGCTGGCACCGATACTCACGTATTCCTGCCAACATCACGATCAGAGGAAAGGTAATGCTACAACATGAGTTACTGCAGCTTTCCAGAGCACAGCAGCATTTGGTACCTATCCTTTGAGTCAGCTACGTGTTGGCTGAGAACTCTACCCATTAGTGGTGCCTAGTAAACTCTCATTTATTAGGAATAAGAAATGTTTCTAATGCTCCTCTCTCCATCCTTTTGAGCTGAGAGCAGCAGAAGCATGCTGATACTTGCTACCCAGCTGGAGCGGTCTGAGCATTGTGTAGCTTGGAGTATTTAATATCCAAAACGTTAATTGCTACCGAAGGAAGCTCATATCGTATTCCACACAGCCATGTGCTCAGCAGGATGATCATTACTAAGTTGCTCAGGTTGTTCTTTACAGACAGTGAGTGAAGCCACTGGCCACGGAGGATGGGCAGAAAGAAATGCCTTCAGCTCTTCAAGACTGACAGATGCAGATGTCATAAAACTGAGATAACAGAGAGAACTGCTGGATGGGCTCTAAAAACAAGGATTAATTGGAAATGTCTTTGGGCAAAAGCCTCACGTGGAGCACAGGGTGTACCCTGCTGAGGAACACGGCCTCGTGGGCTTTCCCAGCCAGAGAAAGAGGCATCAGGCATGGGTGCAAAGGTGACTGCTCAATTTCAAGGAGCACGGTCACTTGGGAAAACAGTTTGCGCAGGCTGGCCTCCGATCAGCAGCTCTTCCAGCACAAAGACACACAGTGGAGAGATCCCAAGGCTGCTCACAAGTGGAATGATGCCTCACTCCCCATCCAAACAGAATTTGGTAATGTCAAGCTACCAGTAACGTCAGCTTGTAATCTGCCGGTGTGAAACCAGCGCTGGCACGGAGCCCTCTTCTGTTAAATCTGTACAGGGCAGCAGATGTACCCCCGGCACCCTCCACGCAGTCCTCACGATCCCAACAGGGACTTGGCCGGAGTGTGCCTTCCCACAAAGACCAGCACACACCTGTGTTGCATCCCAACCTGGACACAGCCCAGGGGAAGTACTCCTGAATCCCATGGTTTAACTCCAGCCTTTGTCTCCTTCAGACTTTTGTAGACCGTGGATAGTCTTCAGTGTTAGGTACTGACAGCACCCTGTTTTGGTGTTCAAGCTGCCAGAAGCCAGAGGAAGTGCTCTTCTCACCTACACAGGATCCCATCTGCACCCTGGCAGTAGCATCTCCTACAACTCCACAGTGAAGAGTAACATGCTAACATCTACCCTGTATCATTACAGTCTGAGGCTGGAAACATTTAGAACATCCCGAGTGCTTCAACTTTTGCTTCTTTCAGTTTTTATCTGTTCTGATGTACACTAGCTCCAGCGAAGAGTGAGTACTGGCCATCTTCATGTAATCCTTACTCAAACAGATGGTCACACTTCTGATTTACAAAGACTGTCCTGGACCCAAACTCTTGAATACCATCTAAATATTTCTCTGATTTACATCCAGGTGTGTTCACAAATCTCAGCATAGTTTACCAAGTTCTCTGAACAGAATGTTATTTTTTGGCGGAAACTCAAATAGTGACGTATTTGGTATTTTGTGAACATATTGTGTAAACAGGGGAATTAATTTTGGGGAGGAGGGTGGGGGTGCGGGCATGGCACTGAAATCCAAGTTTTCTGCTGAACATAAAACATTTGGCTAAAAAACTTCTAGCTGAAAACCCATTTCTATTTCAAAAAGGAGTTTGGATGAGAAATCCATGAGGAAGCCATGTCTGTGCTGAATCAAATTCTTTACTGTTTGGATGAAAAGCCAAAAAGCAGCATGAAATTGCTTGAAAGACATGCATATTAGCCAGCCTTTCAATAAATCCTTATCAAGAGATCCAGTTTCACCCAGTTTCCTAGGAAATATGGCACAAAAATATAGACAACAGTAAACAAAGACCTGGGTAAGCCAACCACCTAATAAGAAATGAAATAAGAGACACTTAATGGACACAAAAAAATTATTCAGAAATTAGAGCTCCTGAAGAGACTCGTTGAAAATTGGTTGGTGCAGCCTTGCCTAGAAAGCTCTCTGCGCGTGTTGGGGGAGAAATTAAAAAAAAAAAAAATCCTGCTTTTGCCCTTTCAAAAGCATTGCCTGCCTTCTTTAAACTATGTTCACTAAGTGAAAACAACATTGTTTGTTACCTTCAACACGCTGGTAATTATCTTGCCACAAAGTGACCCCCCATCGTACAGGGGCCGCGTGCTGGACTCTATCAACCAATTTCACTTCGTTGCCACATTAACAGTCAAAAGCAGCATATTACTGTTAAATATTAAACAAAAATTTTCACTCATAACTGGGAAAGTTCCTCCAAAGACAGCAGGCCTCAGCAGGTGGCTTAGGAGCTCAAATTTTAATTAAAATTTCTAACTCTAAATGCAAATCACAGCACTTACAGAGAAATGCTTCTCAGCATGGACACCTTTATAAGCACATCACAGAGCCTTTAGAAAGTGGACTCTACAAAGGACAGGAGCATACACTGCAGGGGAAAATCCTGCATTAACCTACATGGACCAGATGACCTCACAAATCTTTCAACCTTTAATTTGTATGATTCACAATGGGAACAACTTTCTTCCAAACAACTAACGGGCACCACTGCTCTTTTGTGCTGTCCCTTAAAAAATGAAATTTGCATTTGTAGGATATGAGATGTTTCTTAAATTAATTATTGATTTTGCTCAGGCTTAATCACTTGTAATTACAGTGTCTAGTAATATTTGAAAAACTATGATTTGAACCTAATGTAGCCTGGGGCCCCCCAGGACACCCATAAGCACTGGTATACAGCTCTGCATGCTCTGGAGCAAAGGCGTGCAAGTGCTTGCTCGTGTTAGGCAAATAAACCATTGCTTTGTATGCGAAAAGTTGATTTTTAGCATTTATGGCTCTTCAAAAGAGCACCCACAAAGCCCCTGTTCTCTGCCCTTTTGGCTGGTTCATTTCCTCCTCCCCTTGAGGAAGCAGTCTTACTGCTCTGGTCAATGGAACTGAGGCCACCTTGGCTCTTTCTGAAAGTCCTTTGCGCTCCCTTCACCTCCACCAAAGCGCCATGCAGCTTCCCCTTCCCACCCTGTCTCTCCCACAGGCTGGCTAGCCCAGCTGGCCAATCCATGCCCGCCCATGGCCACCCAAAAGTGCCAGCCACCATGCCAGCCCAGCCCAGGAGCAGCTGTTTCCATTTCTCTCCTGCTTCATGTGGGTAGGAGGTCCAGTTTAATTTCTGTTGTGCTGCAACCCTGCTAATGCCTTCTCTCTTCTCCCCACGCCTCCTTTTCTTGGACTCATGGGTACACACTTTTTGTTCTCCTGAATTGCACCCATCTGTGGCCTGAAGCCAGGCTTTGATGTAGCCAATGGAACTGAATTCTTCCACATCCCACGGTTAACCTAGAAGTAATTACAGACTCTCTACGTACTATTTGCTCTTATCCTTATTATTTTCATGGACTTTGTGGTATGTTTAATGTTTCCGAATTAATTTATGGGGTTCACCCACCTGAATTTTTAAGCACATCTCCCAGAGTCTCCATGGACTGGCACTCTGCCACACACATGCTCATCCACTTCAACACCAAGACCATACAGCCATCCAGACTGCTTCTGCCCAGCAGGCCAAGCACTGCTGTCTTCTGCCACTTTCATGCTCCCAGAGAAGCTACATGTCCATAAATATTTGTATTTTCTCTAAATGTAAGGACTATCCCTTGCTATGTCACCGTGTCAGGCTGGATTCAACAGGAGCTGTCTCTTGGCCCATAGATCTTGTGAACTTTGATGGGAGTTCCAGTGGCATCAGTCAAACCGTGATCAGGGTCTGCTGCTCTGTGCCTGCTCACCTCCTGTCTGGGTCCCAGTTTTACAACAGCGACCACTTCAAGCACAGGGCCTGTGAACTCTTTTACACAGGACAGGAAGGTGTAAGCCAAACCCTTGTTAGATTCACTAATGAAAAAGATGACAAAATGCAAAGATTGATTTAAAAAAAACCCCACCAGACTGAAGACACGTAAAGCAAGGAACGGAAAAATAGATTTCAGCACAAGGGATCAAGGACACAAGCAAATGGAGAAGGTGAGACAAAAAAGGACCATAATGCCCTTTGGTGGTTCCACTTTCACCACCATGTGTTTCTTTTAGAGAAAGAAAGCCTTTATCAGGTACCTTCAGGCAACTGATGATATTTTTTAGCTCCCCAATGCAATCACTTGATGACTGGCTGCTTGCTCTACTCCCCATCTAGTAAACTAAACATCCTGGAGCGCTCCGTGAGCCACTGCTGGGCCAGGATGGTTGGTCTCGGGTCACGATGCTTCACTCCTCTGCTCGACTATCACTTGAGAGATCACAGCTCTGCTGCTATCTGAATTGTGAGCACCACATTCAGTCAACGCTATTCCTCAGATCTTCCATCTGTGAAATGGGAATGTTCTTCTCTTGCAATTCGATGTGTAGTAGATAAATTCCACCGATCACTCCAGTGTGTCCCCATGTCACTGCCACAGGGGCACCTAACCTGAGAGATGTGGCTTTCAGGGAAGCTACTGCACGTTTTAACCATCGGAGGAGATCAAAGCGGTGCGAGTTCCCAGAAAGAGGCATGGAAGGGAACATGGCAAAAGGAGGAATCAAGCGGGAAAATGAACTTAACATCTCCACACAACATCCCAGGTCAGACATCCTCACCTCATCGCACGGAGCTATCCTGTGAATCATGTCTTTCAGATGGCCAATCATCCGCTCCTCCTGAAAGTCATACGGGAATGTCTCTGTCCACTCTGTCAGCAACTGTAAGATTTTGGGACCAAATTTCCTGATCCGAGCCTGAAATGGAAACCAGAATGATGGACAGGAATTGAAACGTGTTTACTCATTAAAGTCTCCCAGAAAACATGAATGTCACTGAACATGGGGCCAGATTTTTTAAAAAAGGCACTTGTGGTTGCACTAGCAAAATCTGCACACGTGCAAACAAATAGCATAGTGCACAAATGAGATATTCTGGCATGCAAAATATACCCGAACTTAGATGCATGCACAACTGTCTGCTTCACATGCAGATTTAAGTATTCTGCATGTGCAATTGGCCAGTTGATGGTTGGATAGACATTTTGTTGGTGCAACCTTTATACCTTTTTTAAAAACATCTGGCCTTTTTGCTGATTTGAACCATATGCTCTTCCCTTTCGTACAACCCTCCTACATTTTCATCCCTCCCTGAAAAATTGATTGGAATGTATGTCTTGACCAACAAAGAGGCATTTTTTGCTTTTTTGCTTTCTGGCTGTATGAAAAAAAAAACTGCTTAGTGACTAGTGGCAGGTGTAACACGAAGAAGAAAAGATGGACAAAACACCAGCACGTGAGTAACTTTGCCTGGGCTACTGATAATGCTGCTCTCTTCCCACATGAGCTCAAGGTCACGACAGGACTCACATAACACACAGCTGATGCCCACTTTGCTTTTGGTGTAGATTTATCAGAGGATGCAGCAGTGGGAATAGTCAGGAAGATACGGGGCAAGGAGGGAAATGTGGGGAACAGCACAATTGGTGCATTAGTGTTATATCAAAAGACGGCCAGTGTGGCTGTTTCTAAGGCTTTCATCCTCTGTAACCCAGGAACACGTGAAAAGGAAATTGCGTTAAACAACAAACTGCACTTTTATTTACAGAAAACACAGACCAAAACAAACAGCCTTCTTCTGCATCCTACGTACTGTAGCTCAAGTGTACCCTGTAATCAGGAAAAATTATACTCTTGAGCTCCACAGCTCTCTGCTTTTCAACCAAGGTGGTTAAAATGCATATTTCAGCTTTCCACCAACAACAGGTTTCAATGAACCACATCTCTAAAAATAACTGCTGTCAGCTAGCATTAAGCTCAGGCTCAAAGACCAGCAGGTGGCTGCTAAAGGGAAAGCTTTATTGAAAACTACAAAGGTCTGGGGAGACATTTGCTCCAGCTGTGTAAACTGCTAGTATGAACTGAAGGAGAGGACTTTGTGCAAGTCACAGGACATAGCGGATGGGGGGTCACTTGTGTGCAAAGTTTCATAGTCAGCCCCACTCTCAGGAACATGAAATCAGCTGTGTCCCACCAACTCCGTGCAACTCCAGACCAGTCCAAAATGCAGATTCAGGCAGACAGAGATCTTCATAATAAGAGAGTGTTTCTCATTTCTTGCGAAGTTTAATGAGTAGCATAACTTTGCAATGCTCACATTTTAATCCTCCTGAACTTGCATCTCTCATAGCATCAGAGAACAGAGCCCACCATGCCTTAGAAAAATTGTTTTATGTGGTGCACCTCAGGCAGATATTTCTATTAACACCAACTGTACAGGCAACCCAAGAATCAGATTTCTAAGCGGTCTGGCTGATGTTCCCCATAGTGAAGGCAGAGCTCCTGTAACTCATGCAACCAGGTGCCTGGGCAAAAACAAGCACACGCGTTCAGATGTTGGTGACTCAGGATTTGATGCCAAAAACACTGTTTGAAAGCTGGAAAGGCTGATTTTGAGAATAATTTCAGAAAGTTGCAACTAATGCACGTTCTTCTCCCCTCCACCGCACTGACGGTGCATCTCCTCCAGATACCACGCTGGAGAGGTCTTCATCAACGCACCGAGGAGAGCTTGGGTGGAACCCAGCACTGAATAGGACCCAGTGGGATCCATCACCACCGGACCGTCTGTGGGACTGCCAGAGGATGCACATGTGTTGTTACACACCGTAACAGTCTGCACAGTCTGGGCAAACCAGGAGGAGTGCCGACGCAGTAACAGCTTGGATTTTCTCATTCTGTGAGCTTGTCACAGCCTCACTACTGCTCCAACCTATTCCTGGTGTACAGCGCCGCTCTGCAGCAGGGCTGCACGGACAATCCATCAGTGCTGGCAACAGGAGGTTAGCGGGTAGGAGCATGCTGTTACGTAGTGTTCGAAGTGACAGGTAAGGCCAAGAGGAATATTACTGAACCAGAAGCAAGAAAGCAAAACGGTAGATGCATTAAATAAAAAAGGGAGAGTGGTGTGTCGACATCTGCAATTGCGAGTGTGTGAGGGTTACATCCTACCTCCTCGCATCCCACAGGCTTCATCAGAGCCTTAAAGAAGTTAAGAAGGAAAGTCACCTGGGAAGACTGAGACAGGGGGAAAGGGAAAATTAGAAGAAGATTTGAAGTGACTAATGCCTGGAGCACTGTTCTTGGACATGGACACTAGGACGCCTCAATGTCAGGAGCTCAGCAGCAACTGTCATCCTTTCTGCTTCATTCAGTCCAAAGGAAGGCAAAGGACACACACCGGAGCCCCAGAATTCTCTGCCCATGGAGTATATCTCACATTTTTCTGCTGTAAAGATAAACTAACCTTGTCCAGCACAGGGTCATCCAGCCGCTGCTGCTCAATGCACTTGTGACAAACTCGGGACAAAAGTTCATGGGGTTCGATGAAGAGTCTGGAACTCAAAAAAAGATATAGGCTTTCTGTGGGAGAAAGGAAAGCAGACCCGCTGTAAGCAGCTGCACAGTGAGTCATATTAGCCATAAAAGCCCCAAACTCCATGTTTTTTGCATTTCCACTGGGACAGACCTTTATGTCCAAAAGACATAGGGATTCCTGACCCCGAAAATGGAACTGGTTACAGTGGGTGCAGGAGGCAGTGGCATCTTCCTCCACAGCATCCGCTCCCAGCCTTTGGTTGCCCAAACCCTGTGCAAACATCCAGCGAAGACAGTGCGTAGGTCACTGCACAGGAGCAAGCCCACGTATAGGAGATGGCACAACCAGGGATGCGCGGAGGCCAGTGAAAACTAAACATATAAACACTCGGGCATCTCTGTGTTGTACTGTGAGCTGCAGGCACCCCCAGGTTAGACACATCTTGCTATTGCCCTGCAGGTCTCACCCAGCCTGTTTTAAGGAATATTTCATTTATTCTGCTAACTCCCCAAAATTCTTTCCTATCAGCCAAGCCATACCATATGCAGTCCCACATCCATGAAGCTGTGGGAAACAGGACTGTTGGATAAATCCTTGGATTATTTAAAGTATTCCAGCAGTGAATTTAAAATATATGTATGAATCCTCAGTTGTTTGCATCCTGACCCCTCCCGATGCCTGAATTATCTTCTTTCCCCCAGACCTAGCCCTGCTCTGATCAGCAGGTATAATATTACATATTACACATCACTTAATGAAAATCTCACAGCCTAATCTGTCCATTACCTATTTTTATTGCCTCTCTGTTCTTTTTTTTTAATTGATATGCTTCTCTATTACATATTTTTAGCTGATCAGAAACTGAGCTGCGGTAATTTAAAACATGCTGTCTGCTCAGCATTGATAACTTTCATAGTCTTCTAAACTGCCCAGAAGTCAATGCTACTCTGCTTTGAAATACAAGCCTTTCCATAGAGATATATTAGTGCTTACAAGTCTTCCAGTCAAACTCCAGTGCAGTTAATGGCTTGCAGGACCATAAACCTGCTTCCAGTTCAGATCCTCACACTGTTGGTAAAGAAACACCGAACGTTCACTGATGGAGCAAGGACTAGGATCTGGACTGTGCTGTCCAGTGACTGCAATGTCAGTGTGAACATAATTCTAGGTAAATTATGAACTCATCAGAAGAAGCGTCTCTGTTGTCACTGCGGGAATGCTTTGTACATGCAGACAAACCTGGATGACTTCAATAGCTATTGAAATTCAGCAAATTTAATGCTGGTTCAGACTTGCAAGTTTTTTGCTTCAGTCTTCATCTAAACCTCTCTGGGATGCACTGCTATTTTTGAAGTGCTTTGACTGCTCTATCACTAATTCATCACCACCACATCTTTCCCCCCTCACCCCATTCTCGTATTTAAAGGCACTATCAACTTTGGGATCTGCTTTTTCATGGGAACAATTATAGTGCAGTGAAATATCATTTAAAGCAATGCATCAATTCACCAAGCTTTAATTGCATGCAGCTTTTAAATTAGCCCTCTTAATTCAAAATTTAACACATTTGCACTTTTGCATAAAGTGCTGCCCCAATTCATCAAAATTAAACTGTTTATTATACTATGAATTGCTTACTTCAGGGTAGTAATCAGTGGTAGGTATGAGATGCTGGATTAGAGCATCCAGAGATGCTGAGGTAAGGTTTCCATCCTGGAAGATCAGTCCTCCTTGCTCATCTTCTTTCGAATTATGTAGATGAGGGCTGAAGCTACATGGGGTAAACATACTGGTAGAACTCGGCGTTTGGGGCATGCCTTCCTGCAACAGAGAAAAACTCACGTCAGGGACAAGATCCATCAGACTCACAGCAACATCTGTCTTCTGGTTGATTTGAAAAACACAAGCCACTAATGAGAGCTTCCTGTTCACAAAATTAACATGATCGCTTCATTATAATGTCTTTTATTGTTGTCACTGGCAGTCCATGCCCTCGATGGAAATACACAGGAAAATGGGACATTTTCATTTATGCTTTTGGGCAAGAGGGAGAGCAGCTGCTCTGGGTTCCCACTCCGACTGAGCGCTCTGTGGTCATCCCATTTTTGCTACCAGCCCTGGTCAGTCCCATCTAGGAGAGGTGAGATACCTGGGACTTGAACTCAGCAGGTTCCTGAGCAGAACAGAGCTGTTTGTTTAAATCTCTGTCCCCCTGAGAATGAGGCAGGGAGAATTTAGGGTGAAGGAGAAAAAAAAGGGTGTCACCTAAGGCTTGCTCAGGACGGACCTTGAGAAACGCTCTGTGGCTCCCACGGGACAGGAGAAGCATCAGAGTGAGCGAGGGGGTAGAAGCAGGAGCAGAAGTCAACTGGGGGAGGATGGAAAAATGAAGGGAGTTGGAGGGAGAACGTGGGAGCTGAAGAAGAGATTAAAGAGCAAGGCAAAGAGAAATGAGGAAAAGCGAGAAGGCAGACACCTGCACTATTTTTGGAGCCTGAAGTTAGTCAGTCCTAGATCTATACTTAGGCACTAAATAAATGTTTCAAAAAGATCCTGAGCACTCATCGACTTCACTAGAGAAGCAGAGTCCTCAGCACCTTTGAAAAGGAGGCCAGGCAAACTCGGAGCATGTAGCCCAGTTTCAAGCTCCCTGTATTTTGGTTCTCTGGGATCTTTGGGTTTCATCCCAGGCTCCATCTCGATTTTGTGGCTTACAATCAGCTTTAAATGTTTGTTCTGCTGAGCAACGTTGTTTTGCTCCTGAATTGGTGCAAAGGGATGGCAGACTTTGCCCTGAAAGTTTTAAAGCATCTCCAGCTGCTTCTGGAACCCCTCCTAGAAGTTGCCCCACTCTCAACTAGAGGCAGCATTATAGTACACGGATTGGGAAAAGGACAATGCATGCTCACTCCAGGTCAGCAAATACACCTCTGCGACCTGACTATTTGCTTCTAAATTTTATTTTACTCAGTGCAAGAGAGGATGAGAGATGACAGAAGAGTTCTACAGCTGACCTCTACTCCCCTGAGCAGGTCTCCCTCCTGAGCACAGCCTCCGCCTGCTGGAAGAGCAGGATCTGCATCCTCCGGCGTGCTGAGCCAGCACCGACCTCCCACGGAGGAAGGCACAGGGCCACCCGCTGACTCCCCGCCGCTGCACCCCAGCCTGCCGCTGCTCACTCACAGGCAGGCAGTCGATATGCCTTATTTTTTAATATTTTTCTGCCCTTTTCTGTATCCTGTTCCATCTGCTTTTCTGCCTCTTCACCATCCCATACTACTTCGAAAGCTGTCCCATGGACTTGGCTGAAGAAGTTGAGTTTGCATTTCTCCCTCATGTATATCGATAGATGTGCTGTGACGAAAGACAGTCAGCTCAGCCTTAGTTACATGAACTGTATCTCGTATTTACCCCTGCAAAAGCACCCTTCTGCCTGGCGCAACCCATTTTCTCCCCCAAGCTCAGGCTGCTGCAACGTGACAACTCAGAGCAATCCTGGGCCACCAGGGATGAGCATGCCGCTGAGCCCGGCGGGGTGGGAAACCCTGGGAGAGGCTGGAGCTGGGTCCTAGCATCGTGGGAGATCAGGCTTGACAAGTAGAACTTGGGTGACTTCATCCTTCAAAGGAGGGACCGTTCCCCAGGAGCCAGCGGTT